GATGGGCGGACCCACATGGGACCGATGGGCGGACCCACATGGGACCGATGGGCAGACCCACATGGGGTCAGTGGGGCTCAGCTCTACGGTGGCTCACACAGGACTGATGAGAATGACATGTCACCAGACTCCATAGCTGAGCTTTACTGGGATCCTGGACACACGGAGACGTGTGGATACTCGATGTTAGAGAACCACCTCTTTGGGGGACATAACTGTGGTGTGGGGTGGCATGTGAGAGTCTTTGTAGTTCTGCAAAGGCTGCTGGGAGAGCTGTACTCACCGAGGAGGTTCCAAACTGCTCCAGGTAATCCACTTCGGCACCGGTGCCTAGGACTGAGGGAGGGTCGCTGCTGTGGTCACTGCCCAGATATCCCACCCCACCACCCCAGCTGGCCACGTCCACAGTGGGGCCTCTCCCACGTGTACTGTGAGGACACAGCACCACCCTGCAACACTACATTTGCTATAAACACACTTCTTTGTGCTACAGAATCTCAGCCAAGTTCAAGGCTACAACCACTTGAGTCACAGCCAGCACAATGAATGAGTGTTCAGATCTGTGACACACACGCAGATTGAACGATGAGCAGAAGGGAAAAGGAAGGCTTAGGCCCCAGACCGGACACTCAGAAGTGAAAGAGTGGGATGCTGCCCAGACTGGAAAGCAACACACCTTCAGAGCGGTGCAGTCTGCCCCACCTCTGAGCCGGTCACCACTGCTTCCAACTATGCTGTTTATGAGATTTGGGAGCTACACGTGACACACTGCACATTTTCCAAGGAGATGAATTTTCTTGCAGGATATCAAACTGCAGTCTCTCAGGTTTCAGTTATTCTGGTACACCGCATTTTAAAACCTTGGCCTGCTCATAGACTACTGAGTTGTGAATTTATTTTTTTTTTTAAATTTTATTATTTTGTCAGTGTGCACAAATCGGATCTGACTGGTACAGGAGGAGACTGGCCCTCCTTCTCCAGCAGAGCATCTGGTGGTGAAATCTTTCTAAAGCAACCAAATCCTGGGTTTTTACTTGGGTCTAAAGACTACGGACACTTGGGTCCAGGGACTGTGCCTTACCTCATCATGGGAACGTACCATGTTCCACCTGCCCTGGGGCCAAGCATGGTTTTGAGCACCACTTCAAACCACAGGCCAAGCCTGGCAAGTCCCCGTCGTGAGCTGCTGGGCACCCCTTGACCACATCTAGCATTTATGTTCCCACCAGTCTCATACGGCAAAGGTATCAGCCTATTTCACTGAAAGGGCCCACTTTTGAGAAACTTAGTCAAAGTCAAGGTCACATGTGCTTGTCCATGGCCATCTGGACAGAGACATCGGGCAACCAACCCCCTGGACAGAGACATCAGGGAACCAACCACCTGGACAGAGACATCGGACAACCAACCACCTGGACATCAGTTAACAACCACATGGACATCGGTTAACAACCACCTGGACATCGGTTAACAACCACCTGGACAGAAGAGCTATGGACACAGCTTCCTGGCTGATCGCAGGTGCTGACCCAGAGCTTCTGCCACGTACCCTCTGCTGGGTCACTGAAGCGCTCCTTGGTGAGGTCCAGGGCGGGTGACGGCTGGCCGGGCGCTGGCTGGCCAGGCGCGGACTCCACAGGCATGGCCTTTGGTTCACTGTCTTTACTACTTGTGAACACTGACATTTCTGAAGAGCTTGTTTCCTCCTGGAAGGAAGGTCAGAGGTCAGTGAGTCCACAGCCTCATCTACCAATCAAAGGACGAGACTGTGGTGGTCTTCCTCTGCAGGTCCCCCACTGGGTCTACCCTGTCCCTCAGTGACAAGACATCGTACCTGTACCAGGGCACACCCTGCCCCCGGAGCACCCCATCATACCTCCACTGCGGCTTTTGGAGCTGCCACAGGGACCTGGACCTCAGGGCTGACATGGTTCTCAGGGCTGACATGGTTCTCAGGGCTGACATGGTTCTCAGGGCTGACATGGGATGAGGTTGAGTCCACCTGCCTGGAGACACAGAGTCGGCAGGAAGGTGCCTGTGGGTGTGTGGCCAGCAGCCCTGCTGTCCTTGTAGGGGCCAGATACCCAGGGCCACACCAAGCGGTCCAGGGCAGCCACGCTCGTGAAGGGACACGACCAGGGAAACTATCTGCTCAGGAAAGTGAGGATTTGAGAAGAGGTGGTGCCGGGGAGCAAGCTCAGCAAGGACCATCTCCCCGCGGGTGATGCGATGCCGTACACCGGGGCTGCAGAGACGGGGTCCCCTCTGGGGGTGTCTGTGTGAGCACAGTAGGTGCCAGAGGCTTCCTGATGGGCCACATCGGCTGACCACGCAATTCACGGTGCCCGGCTGCCAGGCTCACAGAGGAGTCCTCCTCCTCCTCTGTCACCCGAGTGTGTGGCATAATAATGTTCTTACAAAGTACCTGCCAGTTAAAGGAGTGGTCAACACCCACCCAGAATAGGCCTTGAGGGTTGGGGCAGGGCCAGAGGACAGCCTGGGCCTTGCTGTTCCCACTCTGCCATGCACGGCCAGGGTGTCACGTCTCCCGCGCTGGCTGGGACCCAGCCCCTCACAGCCGGTGCCTCTCAGGGACCTCGGCCCCTCTGCAGGGCCCTTCCCCACAGGCAGAGACTGGACTGAGGGTTCCCGCTGGTCCCAGGCCCTGCTTACACCCACCCCCTCACTTACTGGCTGGGAGCTGAAGGCGCAGGTGCGGGGATCCCGGGCTCTGCTGCAGGACACGGCTGGGCAGGACACGGCTGGGCAGGACACGGCTGGGCAGTGCCAGCTGCACACTTGGAGCTACCTCCAAACGGATCGAAGTTTGGGTCATCGAGCTTGTCCCAGTCGAGGGTGTATGAGCCCCGGGGGGTGGGGATGGGGTGCTCATCGGCCCCGATGGACTCCTGGCCTGTCTCTGGGAGGACCCGCGCCTCCCGGTTCTTGGAGGGGGGCTTCACACCGAGCTTCTTTCCCAGTTTCTTCGGGGGAGGTGCCCGCTTGCTGGTGATGCTGTCAGAGAAGTCAAACTCGAGCTTCACAGGCCCGCTCCTGGCAGAGTCCCCCACTGGTGCGGGGCCCTCTGCTTTCGGGGTGCACAAAGCAGGATCGCCTCCAGCCCCTGAAGGGCTTGAGGCAAGTGCAGGAGTCAGGACTGGGGCCTCATCTGGAGCCGGGGGAGTCCCAGCAGCCTCTGTGGACAGGGGTTTCTGCTCCTCCCGGGGGGCACGTGTGTCCTCGGAGCAGGCCTTGGCCGCACTAGACATGTCCTCCAAGGGTGTGTCACATGGTCCCTCTGGGCTGGCATCTAGGGCCATGGCAGCAGAGACGCCCCCCTCTGAGGGTCCATCCAGGGAGCCTTCCGCAGCAAACTGGATATCATGGGTCTTGTCCGAGCCCGCCGTCCCAGCGAAGTCCTCCAGGTTTTTGGAATCCAGGGGAATTCTCTCCTCTGAGACGGTAGGGCCTCTGCTCTGCACTGAGGCGTCCTCAGGGGGGGAAGGCCTCTGTCCCAGGGGCAGCTGGGGGCTCCCACAACTCTCCGGAGCTGGGACAGAGCCTGAAGAGTCCACAGGACTGGGACACCCTATACCAGGGCTGGCGTCACTGCTCCCCGCAGCACTCCCAGCACCTGACGGAGGAGGGGCTGCGTCGGCTGGGTTCTGGAGAGTTCCATCTGCAGGCTTGGCATTCATGTCCCTGCAGAGCAGACAGCTCTTTCAACAGGTTTACTCAGGCTGTAACCTTCCACTGCATGTGAGGCCACGGAAGGTGGTTCAGGCCCACCACTTCCAGCCCGCCCTGATGAAAGCTGGGGACCAGGGGGATCTGAGGATTCCCGAGAGCAGTGACAGCGACATGACTGACAGGACAAGTGGTGGGAGATGAGGGGTCCAGCACTGGCTCCTGTCCCCTTCTGCTGGGACCCATCAGAGTTAGGCAAAAGAGCTGAGCTTTACCCTGGATTGACAGACAAAAAAGGCCAAGGCCGAGAAGCCTCCTCCAGGCAAGTAGTGTCCCTGGACTCTAGGGACTCAGAGCACCTGACCGCACAGCCACTCAACCTCCTGTCCTCCTCCTTCTAACTTGGGGCTTACAGCAAAGAGGTCTGCCCAGGAGACAGAGCCGCAGCGGGCAAGGGGGCCGCCAGGAGATCCAACACCACAGGCGGGGAACTGGCGTGAGAGGTAGGGTGTGCAGGAACTGAGGCAGCGGGGAGGGATGCGGGGACCACAACAGGGAGGGGAGGGATGCAGGGATCAAGATGGGGATGCAGGGACCATGACGGAAAAGGGAGGGATGCGGGGACCGCAGCCTAGAGGGGAGTGATGAAGGAACTGAGGCATGGTGAGGGATGCAGGGACTAAGACTTAAAGGAGAGTTAGAGAAATCTAGACACGGAGAGGAGGGACGCAGGGATCTAGACACAGAGAGGAGGGATGCGGGGACCGCAGCCTAGAGGGGAGTGATGAAGGAACTGGGGCATGGTGAGGGATGCAGGGACTGAGATGCGGAGGGAGGGATGCAGCTGCTGCATCCGAGAAGAGGGATACCTCACGCTCAGGCGGTCCACACGTTCAACAGAGGCACCCCAGTGAGGCCGGGTGTGGGCTCAGGGCTTGCTGCTCTATCCCCCTTCTCCACCCCAACTCTCCCGACCCATGAAACAAAGTGCAGATGAAGAACGGGGACACGCAGGCTGAGATGTCAAGGCCTCGCCAACTCCCACTGTGGCTACAGAGCCCCAGCAGCTGCTGCCCTGCGCTAACCTGTAAACCCTAAACCAACAGACACTCCTGAAGTCTGTGAAAGCCGCTGAGCTGAACTCTGAATGCCAGCGTGAGCCTCAGCCCGCGCAGGATCGTCTACACGGGATCAAACAGGTAACAAGGACCGGAAGCTGTGGGGGCAGCGAGCTTCTGACGTGAGCAGAAGAGGCGCAACTCATGAAAAGAGGGAGTACGTTTGCCCAACTCCACTGAACTGCGCAGTCACGTCGGCTGACCGCTGCACACGACAGTGACAACCGCAGCACTGGGGACGGCCCTCTAACCCAGGCCACCCAACGGCAAGCCCTTCTAATCAAACCGCCCGGCCGTCTCCTCCTGGAGGTGGAGGAAGCCCCTCTCCCCTTGCCCTCTGACATGCAGGGCCATGTTGCATGGCATGTCGGGCCTGCCAGAACGCCCAGTATGCCAATCAGTGCAGCCAATCAGCCCCAAGTACACCACACTTGGCAGAGATGCCACCAGGAGGCCTCCCCAGGACACTGTGATTAGACCTCAACCCTCCAGGTGAGCAAGATCCCACAGCCTCTCCGCCTCCAAAGGGAAGCACCCACAGCCTCACTAAACCTGAGAGAGGAGATGGGTGCACTGGCCACGCGGCAGAGAGCTGGCCGGGCCTCATCGGCGGGGAGGAGAGAGCCTCGGAGGCCCGGGGCAGCTGGGCACAGCATACAGTCAATCCGAATGGAAGTGGATTCTACGCATCTGGTCACTCATGTTCCCACCAACAGCTGTGTGCTGCCGGTACTCTGGATCGAGCCCCAAAGAGCACCCCAGATGCGCCAACTGACGGTTCCCAGCAAGGCTGAGGAAGAGGCTGGCAGGCGGGCACCCGACAGCCGCAGCACTCACGTGTCTTTCTCCGTCCAGGCGGGGAGGGCGTTTTCCAGCCCAACTGCTGTATCCAGAGTAAAGGGTGTCTCGAGACGACCAGCCAAGCTAGGACTCAAGATCCTGTGGGTCTGAGGGTCCCGCAGGGGAGTCTGAAAGGTCACCTGTCATGGAGGAGGAGGGGAAGGTGGGGGTGTTCAAGGACTCAACCAGGGGCCTCTCTCCCTATTTCAAGGAGGGAGGTTTGTCTCTTTGGGGAAGTAAATTTCCAATAAACTTATCTTTAAAAAAGCAGAACAAAACAAAAATTCAACAGGACCACATTGGCAGCAGTGCCCACCCTTCCACCCCAGCCACTCTGGCAGTGGTACCTGCCCCAGCCACACCGGCCGGCAGTAGTGCCTGCCCCTCCGCCTCAGTCAAGTGGCAGCAGAGCGCACCAGGACATACTGGCAGTGGTGCCCACCACTTTGCCCTGACCACGCCAGCCACGGTGCCCACCCCTCCGCCCCAGCCACGAAGGCCACAGTGCCCACCTGCACACCCAGACCATGATGGCCGCAGTGCCCACCCTTCCACCTCAGTGCCCACATATCCACCCTGGCTACACCAGCTGGCAATGGTGCCCGCCCTTCTGCCTCAGTCAAGCTGGCAGCAGCGCACACACCGGCTGTGGTGCCCACCACTCTGGCCTGATCATGCTGGCCGCGGTGCCCACCCCTCCACCCCAGACACACAGGCCGCGGTGCCCACCCCTCCGCCCCGGCAGAGCCAGGCCCACCTTCATCACTTTGCCTGTGCTTTTGGGTGGCACATTTTCTTTCTGTGACACACGTAAGACTGACGATCTTCTGGTTAGTTCCGGTGGTGAAAACAGGAAGTCGCAGTTCTCCGCAGTCTTGTCCCCAGTGACGTTTTGATCCTTTAAGATCTGCAAACTCATTCTGGAAAAGGGGAGCGCGTCTCAAGTGAGCCCGAGGGTGACACGGTCCTGCAGGGTGTGACACTCTCCTGGACTGGCTCTGCGCCCCACGTCACGGGCGCTGCCACTGCAATCCTCACTGGATGCAGAGCCTTCCGCTGAAGAAAGAGGGTGGCAGAGGGAACTAGACCCCTGTGAGGAGGTGGAGTCCGGATTGTAGGCTGCGTTCCCGACAAGAGCGGGAGCAGGGCAGGTGCTGCTCCGTGAGACCATTCAGGAAGGCAGGTGGTGCCCTGCTCGGCCCCAGGCCTCCCCACGCAGACACTGCCCAGCCCGGACCCCCCGAGGGAGGCGAGGTGAGGGGCAGTGTGGGATGCTGGGCATGATGCCACCAGGACGCAGTGCTCGGAGGAGCTGGGGAGAAGAGGCATGAGGGGCGCAGGCCTCCTCCACCCGCCTGGAGCCGTCTAGTCCAGGACCCTCCAGCAGGGCCCAGAGGGTTCTCGAATGCACCCACCCATGCTTCCCCAGGCCCTTCTGCGAGCCTCCTACAGAGCACGTTTTGTCTTGTTCTGCGACGACAGCATTTCTAAAGCAGGTCTCTCTGAAGAGGAACTGGGGACCCCAGCAAACAGAAGCAGCATCTGGGCCCTGGGCTTGGGCAGGCTGCAGTCAAGGAAGCAGGCCAGTGTGGCTGGACACAAGGGGCTAGGGGCCACCTGAAGGTGTCAGGTCAGCAAGGCCAGGGCTGGGCCGAGACTGCGTGACACCAGCATGCACGTGGCAGGCCTGGGGCAGCGTCACCAGTGGACTCAGAAGACCACTCTGGCTGCCACGTAGCAGGGCAGGAAGGAGGACGGAAGCCCAGAGGCTGCTGCGGTGGGACGTGGACGATGAAACCGCCGTGAGGACACAGCAGAGGGGAAGGGAAAGAGAGGTGCTGTCACGGACCAATGAAAAATTTAGCTGGCCATGTTCCTCAGTGGTGTGACAGCCATGTAATGACATCATCCCCAAGATGTGACCTTGTGTGACCAGTATAGGGGTTCGGATGGCATGGTCACAATCCTGAGATCTGGTCCATGTAAGGGGAATCCCCCAAAGTGTGGCCTACACCCCCTTTTCTTTATAAGACCTAGGAATGGACAGAGACTTCAGCACCATCAAGACAGAGGGACTGGGAGCCGAGCACATTCTCTGGACGTGGAGCCAGATCTAGAGGCCATTTAAGGGACGCCAGGCCCAGAGACGGGCTGGAGAGACAAGGACTCCAGACAGAAAGGTTTCCCCCGGAGGCGGCAGCAGGTGTCCAACCTTCCAGCCTCCTAGACCGTGAGGGAATGAACATGTCTGTTACAGCATGCTTGTTACTCGACTCCTGAGACAGGTGGGACCCAGGCATGGCCAGTGGGCCAACACGGGTTCAAGGGTGCAGGGCGATGTGAATCAAAGACCTGAGCCCATGAGAACTGGGTGGACGAGCGATCAGTGCCAGGCCCGGGGGGAGGCGGGGCAGTGCCAGCCTGTTAGGTCTGTGACTCTGCTAGTGGGGACCCTGAGAGGGGTCTGAAGCAAAGCAGGGGGAGGTCAGCTTGCACAGCGGCCGCTGTGAGAACGGAAGCGTGATGTTTCACACATGAGCAGCCTGCGCTCAGCTGTGAAAACAAGGGTCAGCGGTTTAAATTCACCCACAGGGGCCTCAAAGGGCCTGACTGGTTCTAAAAAACATTGCCACTAAAAACCCTTTGGAGCAGCGGTCTCCTCTGACACGCGTGGCTTCCGTCACCAGGTGTCAGAAACCACTCACGCAAACCCGGATGCCATGTGTGGGGTGTACCGGCTCAGGGGGTGGGTGTGGAGGACTCAGCACACAAGGTGGCCCCAGGTGGGTGAGCTTCCTGGCAGAGCGGGGGTGAGGAACCCTGTCTGACCGCTGTGATGGGGACAGAGCTGGGCTCAGCAGTCAGCACTGCGTTTCTAGGTCAGTAGCATACAGACGCCGTCCGAAGCCACCTCCAGAGTTACGTGCACCCAGATTTCCTGCAAAGGAGTGGCTGGCGCAGCCATGGAGTGGGTTCAGGGGATGGCTGGAGAAAGGGCTCAGAGGATGAAGGATTCCCTGACAGAAGCAGGTCCTAGTGCAACTCAGGACTGTCATCACTGACCTCCAAGGGTCAGAGAGCCTCACAGGAACGTGTCACTGACATGGTGGTGGCAAGTGCCCCACTGGAGTGGGTTCAAGAGAGGAAACGGTTTGGAGACGGCAGGTAGAGACTTGTCTTGAACAGGACTGCAGCAATGCGCAGCCAGCCGTCTGAGGCACAGACTGGTTTCTCACCACTGGAGCATGAGAAAAGGGGGAAAAAACCCCCAAGAATGAATAAAGTTGATGATTAAAGGGCAAAGGACTGACAGACGACATGAGCCTCAGCCCCCACGACTCAGAGCAGAAGCAGGCAGGGCCCGGCTACCATTCCTCACTGCTCTGACAAAAGATCACAACGGGCCGCTGGCTGAGGAGAAGGAAAATGAGAACAAAGCTCTAAATCATTAAAAAAAAAAAACCCCAGGTTTGCAGATCAGACAAGAGACTGCTGGAACCCAGGACCACAGCTTCAGCTGCCCTTCAGCTGCAATCCAGCCTGTAACTGATTACAGGCACAGGGGAGCGGCTCCTTAAACAATCAGCTACCCCTGATCAGAGGGCCTGCGTGTGCCCAGGGTGAAGCTCACAGGCAAGCGAGGGGGAGGCTAAGGAATCAAGTGGGGAAAGTGCAGAGACAAGTGGGGACTGTCGTCAATGTTAGGAAACAACAGGTGTGTTAACCTGAGCTGGTAAAGACCCACAGTTGAGCCTCCCGCGGGTTTTCTGAGGCTGTAAATTGCAGGGGAGGAGACTGCCTCTTTTTCTCTGTTGGATTTGAACCACTTGCTTTTGGAGTGGCAGCGTTAACTCCTTTCTAACCAGGCCTCCCCAGTTTTAAAGTTAGGTAGTCTTTATTTTATTTTATTTTAAATTATTTGTGTGTGTGTGCATGCACGTGTGTGTGTGTGTGTGTGTGTGTGTGTGTACCGTCAAATCAGATCTGACTGGTACAGGAGGAGATTGCCCCTCCTTCCTCGGCAGAGCATCTGGTGGATTCGAACCGTGTGCCTCTGTAATATTAGGTAAGTCTTGAGTGGATCCTACGAACACCAAACATGAACTCTGTCTTGTCCTGAACCATCCTCTCTGGTGGCCAGCCTCGTGGTTAAGCGGTTGTTTGAATCCACCAGCTGCTCCAGGAGACAAAGGTGGGCACTCGGCTCCGAGAATTTTACAGCCTCTGAAAACCTGCTGGAAGGTCAGTGCTCGGATAACGTGGACTCAACAACAACTTGCTCGTCAACTTTCAGCGCGTGTCTGGAATCGGTCAGCTGCTGAGGGACAAGGTTGGGCAAAGCTCTTCTGGAGCCCTTTAAAGCCTCAGGAGGGTCAGCGATGAGTCGGTCCCCACGTCCACTGTGAGCTCTCACTCCAATCACTGCACAAAGGGGAGTGAACGCATTGCACCAGAGCAAACGTGGCAAAGAGGAGTATTTTATTCTAGAGACGACTGTCATGTAATAGTCTGAGAAAAGGCTCCAGGGAGGAAGAACTCATGGCCACAGGAACTGATTCACTGCGGGGAGGGGCAACGACGGGCCTGGACGGCAAAAAGGGAGGCGAGTGCGCTCAGGACAAAGGCGGAGGCAGGGCCGCATGTCCTCCGGGATCAGCAGGACGGGCAGCTCGGGGGTCGGGGGGGGGCGGTGTGCGAGGGGCCCCCCGGGGTCGTCCTGCTTTGGACACCAGCCCCTCGCGGGCCCTCCCCTCCCCCGCTCCCCCAGCCCCAGACCGCAGGGCGACCCGCCAGCCTTTCGGGCGCGGTCAGTGCCCCCCACCCCCGACACGGCGCCGGGAGGGACGTTTCGGCGCGGAGCAGCGGCCAGGTCAGGGGCCTAGGCCTCAGGAGCCGGGGTCCGGGGTCCCCCCAGCCCGCCCTGCGCCCCCGCGGCCAGGGGCCGGCCCCTCCCACCGCGCCCGGGGCGGGGACCTGGAAGAGCTTTACCTGCCCGTCCGCCCGCCGCCGGGCTCTGGGCCTGCGCCCAGTCACTCGCCGAGAGGAAAGAGAGGGAGACGCAAGCCCCGTGGTCGCGGCCGGAAACTGACTCCGGGCAGCCAAAGGCCAGTGGCCAGTATCCCCGCCCGAGATGAGCCGCTGGCCGCGCCACCGATTCAAATACCGACGGTTGACTGTGCGGCCAATCAGCGCGCGGGAGGGGCGGGCGGCGCACGCAGCTGCGGAGCCAATAGGAGGTCGCGCAGCCGCGGGCCCCGCCCCTGTGCGCCCGCCCTCCCGCTGTCAGGAGCGAGGGGCATGCTGGGAGTCGGGGCGGGTCCCCGAGACAAGGCCGGGCTCCCGCAACCGGAGTCCCGGAGAGCACCCCAAGGACGGGTGTTCGCGGGAAGGCTTCTTGGAGGTGGTGGCAGAGGAACTGACGTCGGCTACAGAATTCGGTGCCCACTCAGGTCCATGCACCTGCCGCCTACTTCCGACAAGTAGTGACTGGGTCCTCCTGAGGATCTAGGACCTGCGGGGACGCTACTGGGTTGCGCTGCATGGCAGTGCCTGGGCCTCGGAGATGCTCTCTCAGGACTCAGTTTCCCTAAGTGTAAAATGAAACAAAGTGCAGCACCACCTGCAGAATGGGTCTTGGGGATGGTAGCCACTGCTCCGCCTCCCATGGGTCCTTGCGGCCGGCAGGGACTCCATCTCCCAGAACACCTTGCGGCCGACTGCAGGGGGCGGGGCTCCCTGGCTTCGGTGCGTCATGGGCGGCCAGGACTCATTTCCCAGCATGCTCTGCGATTGACGGGGACTACATTTCCCAGAGCGCCGCGCGGCCGGGCCGCGGGACTCCATATCCCAGAACACCTTGCGGCCGACTGCAGGGGGCGGGGCTCCCTGGCTTCGGTGCGTCATGGGCGGCCAGGACCC